AGTAAGCAATTGCCAATACGTGATTTGCGAAAACAAAAACTTTCACACACACACGCCCTTACCAATAAGTTCCTATTGTTGTTGTTGTTGTTTGCTGTTGAGCGGATGGAAGGCGTTTTTGGAGGCGTGGCAGATCACAGCTGCGTAATCGATTTTCAAGTGTGAAAAGCGGGCCCTACTTTCTGGCCCCAAAGCTATTTTTGTGGCCATTTTTTAATCTACACTCGAACGCCCGCCTGGCATGCGGCCGTATTTGCTCAACGTGATGAGATTTTGTGGTCTATGGTCCCCCATTTCCCTTCCCCAAGTTCTATCGCGTCCGGAGAACTCTATTTACATTTTTTTTTTCTTTCCCTTGTTGTTGTTGGCATATCGATCTTTGGCCAAATCTTTGACTCCCTTTATGGCCCGGTCTCGGCCTCGGCTCGGGCTTGTTGGTTTCTCTTAACGCCTGAAAGCAGACAACAGCAACTGCCTCTAAGCTCGGGTGAATTTTTTCTGATTCTTGTTCTTGTTTTGCTTTTTTTTCGATATATTTTCTTTTTCATTTCGGGTTTGAGAAGGGGGGTGGGGTGTTCCAGCACGCAACAGCTGCCAGCAGCCGGCGGAAGGCGGAAAACTTTTCTCTCTGCCAGCCAACAAACAGCAGGCGGCTGGAAAATTCTCAAAAAAAGAGAGAGGAAAGAAGGTATCGGAAAACAAAAATAAAAGAAAAACGGATATGGGTAAGCTCGAAAGTTAAAGATTATTATCAATATCAGATGGCCTTCTAGCACTGATAAGAAGGGTTTCTTTGGCCATGACTTTTATGAGTCCTAATGATGTGAGTATTACTTGAGGAAATTGTTACTAAAAAGAAATATTCATAAATATGTATATATGTTGAATAATTTACATTTAAGCTCTGGCTTTAAAAAGTTTGTTATATACAGAGTTTTCCATTTTCCGCTTAGCTTATTTCCCAGTGACGGTAAACTGTTGGCTCTAAGTAGAATCACGTTCCCCCCTTTCACTTCAACATTATTTTTCCTCCCCCTGTCACATGCTAAGCAACCATATTTTTTCGGGGATTTTCTATTAGGACATTCCATATATATATCATATATATATATATAGAAATACATCAGGGCAAAGGCAAAGTTTAGTCTAATGCTCTTAACGCTCATGTCTAACCTCTTTGCCCGCTCCCCGACGCTGTTTTTCCCAGCTGCGGTGTGGATTTGTCGCCTGTCTGTTCGCCTTCGCCTTAGATCCTGCCCATCTCCTCAGAATTCTCTACTTAACACATCCTTTAACGACAGACGTCGCGCAACTTTCGACATGTCTCCCGAGTTGTAAGGCGCTGAGAGTAGTTCCATGTCCAAGAGAGATTGCCTAGTTATACCCACTCTGGTCGGTACACGGAGAAAATATATTAAAATCCATTTAGAGATTGTCTCTTTAAGTGATTTCGGGCCTGGTTTTGATTTAAAAATGTTTTGGATTTGTTAAAACCTTATTTTCGAGGACGAAAGAGTATGCAAAGTTTGCCTTAGGCTGTGTACAAATAAATACTTTTTCTCTGTAATAGAAAGTCCCAAAATTAGGACTAAAATTTAATCTGAACAAATGTTCATATACATATCAAGGGAATAATATTTAATATTAAACCAATTTATATCCTTTCCCTAGTGACACACATTTTAGCATACAAAAAATTTTGTTGTATTATTTAACTCTATCTCTAAAATATGGCATAGTTTTATTATTATTTCTTTTGTGTAAAAAAAAGATAAGCTTCCACGATTTGTTTTCCGTGCACCTTGTCAGTTGTCTGACAGATGAAACATAATTTGATATAAATGCATTTTAATATGCAACTGCCGCTCGCTGGGGCCGCCTCCCACTTCCGCCCATGTTGCGGCGAATTTATGTTTTTGCCGTAAATCAAATGAATAATTTAAGCTCTCTGCATGGCCAGTGTCTGTCACTTAAAAATGTCAGGGCTGCCATCAAAAATTTCCGGCGTTCGCTTCATTTTCATTTTTTCGATTCTGATTCATATCAGAAGCCGCGAGCGGAATAAATGGGCAATGTAAGCTTTGCGTAATTGCATTAAATGGCATGGAACTGAATCCATCACACAACAAAACAAGAAATCGACTGGCAAAGGCGGGAAGTGACGGGGGGAGAGGAGGGGGATTAAAAATGGGAAGTAAAGAACGGATAAACAAAAACAAGAAAGTGGCAAGAGAATTGGTAAAATACGATTGGGCAAATACCCTATCTAAAGTAAATTAAATTAAGAGAGCTTTGTAATAATAAATCAATTCAACTAAATTGATATATATATTATTATTACTTATGACAAAATACATGCATCATTTTTTAATAATTAATAAATAAGAGAACATGCTTAAACTTAATATTATATACATTTCATCTTCTCATTTACTTGCCTATTTATTTGCTCAACTTTGCCATCAGAATCGATTTACTTTCCGAAAGAGTATAAGTATTCACTTCTTGTTCAACATCAGCGCACAAAATTCCAATTTATTTTAATTGATTTATTAATGATTGAAATGTTGCATAAATGTAGCAAATATAAATGTATTTTTTGGCCAGCCCGAGTCTCATCTTCACCCCTTTTCCACACAGTTTTAACAGACTCTCCTCACTTGTTATCGATGAGGGAAATCAATTTTCAAGATGAGTTAAAAGCTCAGACACAAAAAATAAGCACAAAGAGCAAATAATAATATATAGGTTGTATAATTGATATTATAAACACAAATAAATTAATACGAATTTATTGCCAACAAGGTTCAATTCAATTTCAAAGAAAACCACCAACTTAACTTAGTTATTTGCTTTTCCTCAAAAATATTTATACGACACTCTTTGTCCAAAGATATTTTCCCAATTAAAAAGCCTTCAAAGGAACTGAAAATGTAAGCCTAAGGACACACAGACATACACACACAAGAGGGGAAATGGTGGAAAAGCGTATCCATTTCCCTGCATTTCTCGCCCCTCTTTTCTTTGCTCTTAGATTGCACATTTGCGGATTGGCCTCAAGATTGGGCATAATTATGCAATTTCCTCTTTAACGCTCAGCCAGACAGACACAAAAAGAGTTAAATTCAATAAAATTTACATTTAACCACAAAAACAGCGACTCGACTCCTCCAAAAACTCGACAGTAAGAGAGCAGAAGTAGGCGAAAAGTTAAGATGAAAGTCGAACAAAGAGATGGAAAAACAGAGACTTATGTAAATTGAAATTCAAGAGCAGAAAAACCAAGAAAAACAAAAACAGAAAACGAGAAAAACAGAAGCAACAAGAGGCATCAACAGCTGAAAAACTGACTCTGCAAAGACAAAAAGAAATTTTCATTCATTTCGAATTACGCTGTATGAGTGTCAAAATGGCGGTGGAACTGAAACCCAATGCTGGAATAACACTAGTCAGCAAAGGAAATAAATTATTAAATAGTATTGTTTTTGGAGAATATATTCACTAAATTTTATTTCAACAAAGAAAGTTTAAATTTTAAGAAACAAGTGATTTTTCATCAGATTCTTGTTGTATGGCATTTCTTAAAGAAAATTATTATGTTCTATAAAAATAAGATATTTAAAAATATCTTAAATAGGGGAATAAAACATTTTCCTTGTTATTTTACCATTTACCCATAAACCATACAAAAAAATGTTAAATAAAGTATTAAATGATATCCTTCATATTTTGATAGTTTTTCTTCATAATATTAAATTCAATCTATGAAAATAATGCACTCAAAAATATATGATAAATGGAGTATTAAATGATATCCATGATATTTCTTGCTGTATTTTTTTTTTTTTTTTTTTAATTTTATATATCCTGTAAAAAGAACCTTTTTAACCTTTGTAAGTTGGTGTAATTAAGGGTATGAGGGTATGAGTGTGACCCTGTAGGAGGGTGAGCCAGAGGATGGCCTTGTGGGTGGCTGGGTGGCTTATTTCGGGAGGAGGTCACCCGACAATTGGCTGGGCTTTTGTCGCTTGTCGCTTCTGCTGGCGGTGCAGACCGAAAATTCAATTTCATGCCGCGTGACACAAAGACAAAGCCAAAGCCACCAAAGGCAGACGCTTTCCCTCGAAAAGCTGCTGCTGCTGGGAAATCGGGGTGGTGGGAAATGCTTCCTGGTAGGTGGAGGTATGTGGCAGTGAGTACAAGGCGGGAAAACTCGCTGCATTTGGGGAAGACGACAGAGTTGACATTCAAAAATGTGCGCACTTCGCTCAAAAGAATTTCAAATTAGCCACTTTTGCTTAACAATTGGCGCGACCAACAAATTAAAAGGCAGCCAAGAGGGAGTGGCACCGCGAAAAAAACATAAAATAAATGAAAAGCCAAACGGGAAGTCGAGAGTTGAGATTTGAGAGTTCAGGTACTGGTCACAGTGCAGTCGGCGACAATTTAAAGTCAAGTATTGAGCGCTAAGGAGGGGAATACAAAAAAAAGGAAATAATTGCCGCGGAAAATGCACTCGAAATCGCAGACAAGTGCACCAAATGGGGATTTGGGACGTTCGGAAAAGCTGCGATAAGTGGATCGGCAGAGTGCCAACTCCACAACTTCGATCCGGCATTAGCGTCATTTACACATCTGTGTGTGCGCCCTGCGAATCGCGTTTAGTTAACAATGCCGCGTCTCCCCTGGCTAAGTGGCAAAATTTCCATGGAAAAGCGAAGGAACCGCAAGAGTCACCACCAATTGGAAGCCTCAGTTGAGCTCTAATGGTCACAGGTTAAGTCAAGTGCTGTCCAAAGGAGTTGAATGGAAAGGGAGCAGCTAACTCGAACAAAATTCAATTAAGGAAATGTTTTTCAACGAAAATATTGAAAAGTTACTTCTTTCTCTTTAAAATGATTATATTATTTATTTAAGATATATTTAAACCATTTATTAGTTGTTAATAAACTTTTATAGCTCTGACCACCACCATTTCTTGTATTTTCCTTCACACAAATCTAAGGCAAAGCATCCTCTGTCTGAATCTGAGTAGTAACCTCCACATCCTTGGCCAAAGAGGAGGAGTTTTCCTGCTGCTGCTGCTCCTTCTTTAACTTCTGCCTGCACTGGTGGATCTTAAAGGCAGTCTCACACTTATTTTCCCCACGGATCATGTGACACTGACGTTCAAGCCACAGGTCCGGATTAGTGGCATCGGAGAGCAGCCCAAAGAAGTCCCTTTCCACGAAGACACCATCGTGCATGAGACCCATTTTCTCATAGAGACAATGAGTGAAGCACTGGACGGATTCCGAAGGATCAGTAAAGTCCTGTTGCTGCAGTTTGTGCAAGTCTCGTAGAGATATATCGGTTTGATCGCCGCACAAGCGGATCATGTTCTCCGTAATGGGTTTTGGGGAATCGTCGGCCACCGTCAAACCCAGGTTTATATTAACCTTAGCGAAGCGAGACTGTGGGAGAAGTCCTTTTTAGCCTTGAAAACTAATTTCATAATTAGTTTTCCAACTCACCTCACTCAGAGACAGCAATTTAAGCACTACCAGCACCACTAGACCACGATTCATGTTGGTTTTATATTAATTTAAACTGATTCATCCCCAAAACCCACTGCTTATATAGCTCTCATCTTTTGATCATTAGTTGGACAGGAAAACAGTTTTAATTGCGAATATCAATTCAATGAGCCGAGCACAATTCGCGGTTTTCGGTTGAACAAGTTGGAGGCGCAGTTTGAGTCACACGAAAGTAACAAGCCAAGCCGAGCAGAATTCAAATCGATGCCAATTGGCATATCGAAAGTATCTTGAGAGCTGCTTCAACAAATCCCACCGAGTGCCCAGCAAGTTTTACTCCCCTCTCACCCGAAATACTTGCACAAAAAAAAATACAGAAGTTGCAAAACAAATTTTGAAACAAAACAAGAAGAAAATGGCAATGGAAAATTTGTGTATTGTAAAGTCAACGTGTTGAGACTCTGCTTTCTGTGATAAGTATTTGGATTATATACGAATTTAAATATGTTTTTCTTTTAAAATTATATATTTCCTTTAAAATTTGCATAGCTCTTGTTAATTTAATAGATATGTAGATATTTATATATGTAAATGAGTTTAATAAAAACCAAAACTCTGCAAGATAATAAATATATCTTTAAACTTCAACCTGAATCACTTAGTCAAAGTACTATTCCTTCAAACTTAAGTACTAATAACCAAAGTACAGTCAACAACTTTGGATATTCCAGACCCAAAAAATGTGTGCTTGTGTGTGTGTGTGTGTGTGTGTGTAGAGTGTGCGAGTGTGTTGGGCACTTCCGTTTGGCTGTTGCGCCATTTTGGCTGCGACTATTTCCGCTGGTCGCATTAACTGCAGGCGAATAACTTTTCCAATTTGCTTTTGGCAATTATTGATATAAGCCAGAAGCAGGCGAAGGCAACTTGAACGGGCTTCTGTCTGCCACTTCAGTTGCTCTCATTCCCCCACTCTTTCTCACATCTGTGGGCATCTCTTTCCCACACCGAAATCACACTTGCATCGGTCCAAGCATATTTTCCTGCATTCTTGCGCATATTTGTGCAACATTCCAAAAATTCTTGAACAAAGTTTCGTTATTATTGCCATTTTGCCGACTCTTGGGAGCGGTTGGAGCTGGGAGCAGGGAGCTGGAAGCTGGAAACTCCAGAGCCTGCCACTTTGATTACTTTTGCAGTTGCCGTTAGATGCAATTAGTTGGTTCATTAGAAAAACAACAACCATCCCCACTGTCTTGATAGGAATTCACACACTTAATTAGGAGCCTAGAATGAAGAGAGAGAGTGAGGGAAACCGAAACTCGACTCTCACTGATTGCCAACAAGTACACTCGGAAAATGTCTTAAAAGTATTACTTTAGAGATGAAAAGAAATACTATTTAAAATATATATTGAAATTAGGATATAGGATTTAGAGTAATATGAGTAGAAAGAGCTTGAAACATGACCCTAAGACCAACCATGTATGTTTACTTCCCATGTACCTTACTATCGAAGTATAGATTATCATCATATTTCAGATCCAGCTATAACTTATTAAAAAATGTATGTATATTAAGTCCTATTAAATATAAAAGAATAATTAACTAAGGCTTTGTTCCATTTCAAACTACATTTGTGACGCTATTAATTATTTTCCTCAAACTTGAGACTTAAGTTTTCCTCAGTAGTAGTCTTGTTGTCCTGCTGTATCTTTGTATCTTGAAGATACTCGGACTGACTGCTTGGGTATGCAAATCGGTCAGCAAAACTGAGGCTGAGTGATTTGGCCAACTCCTTGGTTTGTGGCCTCTCCTTCCTGAAGAATTTAGCATGTGACCCGAAGCTCTGTTGCATATTTGTTGCATAATGCCAACTTATGCGCTGGCACATTGTTGACCAGTTGTCCGGAATACCCTTCCATACATATATCCCATATATATATGTACATATATCCTCCTCCCCTCGATTTACATTATTTGCCGCTGTTGTCCACTGGCAAAGAGCGTTGTTGGTTTGAAAAATCTACAAATCGCATGCCGCAAACAAAAGCAAATGCCAGCACTGGGATGTAGATTGCCGGATGGATGGCTGACTGACTGGATGGAGGCTGAACGCTTAGAGGGATAGATAGATGGTTAGATGGCTGACATACCAGCATTATTCCACGTCACCGGCCAGTGCACATTTCAAATTGGAAAGGAACGCTGCAAATACTGAAAACTTGGCTAAAATTCTCAGGCAAAAGGTCTCTCTCAATGTGGAATAAATAAGTAAATAGTTCAGATGCTCTTGCTGCTGTGACAATTCGTTCTTTCATTCTTATTTTTAGCCCTTTTTATAACCTTGCAGGGTATTTCTGCCTGTCCGCAAACTAGTTCCTCAGTCTTGAAGATATCTCAATGAAGCTTTCCAGGTAGTCTTCTAAAAACTATGACTCCTTATATAAGTCAGACTACTATATCATAAAGGTTTTAGAAAAAAAATTAGAAGTTTTAATTGAATGTGATTCAAAGCTATCTTTTATTATTATATATATAACTGCCAAAAAAAAAGGTTGAAGAGGATCAGTAAGTAACTATGACCAGTAAGTATGCATGATCAGTAACTAACTTTGAACACTAATAAACAATGACTTGTAACTTTTGTAAGACAACACCCTTCTCAGACTTGGCCGGCAGAAGTCACTTCGCTCCGGGGACGTTAGAACAAGATGGGAATCATTTGCACGCATGTGCATAAATGTAGAGGATCAGTAAGAATTTTTCAACATTAAGTAACTCTGATCAGTAAGTAACTATGAGCAGTAAGTAATTCTGATCAGTAAGTATCAATAAACATTAAGTAACTCTGAAGTATCTGTGACCAATAAATAACTATGATCAGTAAGTATTTAGAGTATCAAATCTATCACTAAAAATCTAAGTATGTAAAGGGGACCATGGCAATAAGGAAACACATTGGAATACAAAGTCTAAATTTAGGTCTGATCCCGCCAATAGCTTCTTCATACAAAATATAAATGTCATTGTTAAGACTTACCGCAGTAAAGGACACGTCATTGTTTACTTCCTTCCAGTGTAGTGCGATCAAAAATGGGTGACTTTATCCAAAGTAAGCTTCTTCCTAGTCATCCAGATGTATTGCATTGGCGCCACGTCATAGTTTTGGGTTTGAAGGTTGATCACTTGCACTATCACTTGAGATGTTAACACTAGGTACCCCTAGGACAGACTGAGGCGCGCGCGACCTCAGCGCCTCTATTTATAGTCCCCGAGCAGAGCAGAGCAGAGCAGAGCAGAGCAGAGCAGAGCAGAGCAGAGCAGAGCAGAGCAGAGCAGAGCAGAGCAGAGCAGAGCAGAGCAGAGAAGAGAAGAGCAGAGCAGAGCAGAGCAGAGAATGTGAGTGTGAGTGCGTGGGAGAGTAGGAGTTGCCTCTAGAGATTAACATAGAGCGATTAACATGAGCGGTTAACATAGCGAGAGAGGGGGAGAGGCAGATAGGAGCAGCGACCAGTAATTAACTCTGTGCAGTGATTAACTCTGAGCAATAAGTAACTCTGATCAGTTAGTATCGATGACTAGTAAGCAACTATGACTATATATAATCAGTAACTAACTTTGAACACTGATAAACAATGAATTGCAACTCAACAGTTTCTGAGACTTAGCAGGCAGAACTATGGAGAAATTATTCTATATAATTTGACTAGTACATAAGTCGAGGCATGGCGAATCGGTGGACTATATATATACACATATGTATATAAATAGCTGCCATACAAACGATCGTTAAAAATACAGGGAAATGCAAAACGGTAAATGTAAAACTAAAATGAAATCAGACATTACTTTATTGTTTTTTTATTACATAAATATATATCATTTATTTTGTATTAATTCCTAGTAATCGAATTCCAATCTGCATGGGTATACAAACTTCGGCGTGCCAAAGTTAGCTTTCTTTCTTAAACATTTTATTTTTTATACCTCTCTTTGCGGTTTAATTTTCCCATACCCTCTGCATGCAAATCACATACAATCAGAATGAAGTAAACGTGGGCCAAAGGCAAATATGACATTTCAGTCAGCCAAGTAAATAAATGTTAGGCGGCACAAATGGAACGTGCCAAAGCCGCTTGAGGAATACGAGACCTCAGACACTCGACCCGGAGCTGTCTGTGCTCCATATCTAACCCACAGAATCCCTTTCACCTTCGGGCGAAGACCACCCATCTTCCATTGTCCTCTCTTTTCCACCTGTCAATCCTTAGCAAACAACTGTGAGGAGTCATTTCGCAGCCAGAGAAATGTGAGGTCCTTGAAGGTGGTGAGTTTTTTGTAAGCTTACGTAGGGGTAAGAAAGGGAAGTGAGTTTTTATTTTGCATAGGTTTATATGTAGAAGAACAGTGTATTTTATTTAATTAAATTTATTTATAAATAAAATAAAGAATTAAGCAAAGAGAAAGACTTGTGACAGAATTATGATAGTATTTGTTCACGTCAGAAGGCCCTTCGCGGCGGCCGCGGCGCCGCCTCTGTCCGCCGAGCCTCCAAAGCTTTGGCCGCTCTTGCACTCCCGCAAGTCGGCTCTTCGCGCACTGCTTATCGGGCTAGTCTAAGCGCCCCCGCGCCCACTCTTCGATGTTCGCGAACGCCCGCTCCCGAGTTCCCGAGCTTCGCTCGCTGCTAAGCGAGCTGAGGGACGGCTAGTTCGCGCTCCACTTCTCGGGCCCGCTCTCGCACTGTTAAGTGTAGCTTATCGGTTGGGAGCGCAGCCCTTACATTTAAGCTATTTAGTCTTATGTATGCAGCGCAATAAAGCTGACCATTTGATTTTGCCCACGACGCCCCCGTCTTTTACTTTTTCACCTTCGCTTGCGACGTGGGAATTTCCATTGGGCTACATTTGACAAAACAGGATCTTCAGCGGCAGGATCGCCCCCCTACAAACATTGGTCCTTCGAGCCGGATGCGGATATCCTTCCGTCCTTTCACCAGCAGTTCCCGGTGATTTTCCGCTGAGATAAGTATATGCTTGATTCCGTCTTGT